ACATTTGACTAACTTATCGGTACTTGCGCTCTCCTTATTGAACAATTCAGACATTTTATTCTTGCATGTACTTCCAAGTATGTTATAGGCTTCCATCTAGGCTGCAACTAAGTACGCTTTTTGCTCATATGAAGCTCCAAATGAAGTTAAAAGATGATTCATGTTCCCCTTTCCTGGAGAATGTACAAGATCTCCTTACTCTTTTTTTCTTCTCTTTCTTCTCCACTAATAACATTTTCTTCACTGTATCGTTCTATCTCCCAAGCTCTGTAATCTGATTGTTCCTTCAATGATTGTGCTGTTATTGAGTTGCCTGTTTCATACATATGTATAAGTCCACCACAATTCTTATTTCACCTTCTGCTACTTCTTTTCCTTAAGCATTGGACCAAACAAGAACATCCGCAGTAACGCTATAAACACATGTAAGGTTGGCTCTGTGGTGAGCTTTGCAGAAAGTCATAAGAAGGGACTGGGCTGGTCCAAAATTCTGACTGTGCGATAACTCTGCGTACAAATTTCAGAGTTTTGCAATGCTGTAGTATTAAAAAATAAAGGACTATTAAAAATGCATTAATATGATTGATTTTATTTTTAAATCAAATGCTATGTTAATACTACTAGTGCTAAAAAATATTGCTCTTTGTTTACAATCAGTCAACAAAATGCTGTTATAAAAATGTTTCATATGTTTTATATTTACAGAGCTGGCATTTCTTCATTCAGTAGTTGTCAAACTGTATGTGTGAATAAAAAATATTCTGATAAAATAGAAAAAACACTTATTTTTTTACAACTCCTTTAATTAACATGCTTTGAGGGCTGCTGGTGGGACTACAGCCAACTCACTTCAGAAATGGCCGTGTTGTGGTTGTCAAACCTTAAAATTATAGTTATTTTGATCAGTGTTGTATCAAAAAGTATCCTTGCTTAAAAGTACAAGTATCTTACCAAATAATTTATTTGGTAAAAATTAAAGTCTTCTTTAGGAATATTACTTTAGTAAAAGTCTTGAAGTTTCTGGTATTTTTTTGTACTTAAGTATTAAAAGTAAAAGTATTGATTTAAAATGAGCAGTTGGATTTTCCATATAACATTTATTAGGAGGTAACCTCTCAAAAAAATGCAGAAAATACTATGTCGTATTAAAGTAATGTTTGATATATGTTAAATTTAGGGTGCACCAGTCTAGCTGTTGCAGTTTATATGCATATATCAAGGCTGCCCAAACGTTCTCTCCAAAATAAAAATCTATCTGAGGGCTGTGGCCAAATGCAATAATATAATTCATGAAATACTTCCTAAGTACAGTCCTTTTATTTTAATGATTATGTCCTGCTGGAGTGTGACATGATTTCTTTGTGTACAAACTTATACGGTATCAGTATTTTATTTCATTCAACCACAATTAAATTCACTCCATCTAGGAGGCACAATTTATATGGACAGTATTTATTTTTTACAATAACAAGCTGGAATGAAAACAAGCAAAAATTAAATAAAAGTAACGACTTTCTACTTCTTGCCGTTTTTAAATGTAAGGAGCTGAAAGTACAGAAAATTGTGTGAAAATGTAAGTAGAAGTAGAAAGTAGGCTGAAAAAGAACTACTCAAATAAAGTACAGACACTCAAAATTCTACTTAAGGACAGTAACATAGAATTTGTACTTAGTTACTTTACAACTCTGATTTTGATGCTACATTGTGAAATGTCAAGCTCAGATTCTGTGAATGACTGAACCACTACCACATGAAACTTCAGCTCAATGTATATAAAACTGATCTTTGTCTTTGCTAATGTGGCCATAGTTAAGAATTGTTTGACATAGTTCCAATGATTACTTTCTGAAAATTTTATTAAAATACCTTCAGTAATTTTTGAGATATTTTGCTGACACATTGATTACTGCATCTTTTGTCTCATTTGAGAAAATGTGAATTCCTTTTTTTTATTTTTTATTTATTTTTTTCGGGGGGGGGGGTGGTATTTTTCAAAATAAAGCACGCAATTTCCTGTAATGTGCTTTTTAACCTCAAACATCTACTAAATGATGTTTTCTTTTGATTTACCCAGTCACGTGTGCGTGATTTATTTGTTAAACGTAAGCTGTTAGCCTCGGTGTGTGTTAGTATAGCGCCTGCTGTTTATTTGTAGGTGTGTGCGTTTCGGTGTAAGCGTACCTCATCAGCTCTTTATCACTCGGGCAGTGCCCCTCCGGCTATCGCTCTCAAAGTTGCCTCTCATTTGTTGTAACTTAAGTGAATAACATCTCAGGATGCAGAAAAGCATGGCGCTTTATTTCTCAAACTGTCAGTCTTTCACAGATGCAGCAGCCTGATGTGACCTTACGGCAAGCATTCGACGTTTCAAAAAGTCCATAATTTATGGATTTGGCGTCAAAGACAAACATCTGATATTTCTTGTAACAAACCTTCACCCTTTAAATGGATTTACTGTCAAGCAAAATAAAAAATCATATTTATGCTAATGGAAAGTCCATCTGTTTATTGGTTTTTGTTGGCATTTTATTATTTTCCTGCCTCAAATGAAGAGGCTCTTCCTGCACACTCATCTTTTACCCATCTATTGATGTTTGCTCAAGTTGCTGACTGGGAACAGCTGCTTTGGTCAGACTTAAAGCTAACCGCGGACCCCCACATTTTTAGCTTCACACTGTTGACCCCGAAGGTTAGGTTGAGGCTCATGTCGTGTTGTTGCCTCCGAGGATGGTTAAGGATTATGATGATTATGCTACTTTGAGCCCTGCGCCGTACACTTGAGAAATGATTAGGACTGCACCAGCAGAGTGTTAGCCTGACAGATGGCAACACGCGGAGATAGTTGACAGCACTGCTGACAGCGCGCTCACAGGAAGTCCCCATATTGCCTGCACTGCGCTCACTGTTTGTTGCCGTATATATTCTGATGTTTTTTTTTTCTGCCGTCAACCGAAGCGTATTCCTACCTGTCAATGCCAAAGTCAGCTCATATCACACATTCGCCAGCTTAAGATTGCGAGGCCTCGGCATACGCCTTCTGTCATGACACAAAAGGGAATAGGGGTGTGTTAAAAATCTGCAGTGAGACATTATCCCAGTCACTTGTCATTTATCAAAACCTTCCTTTGTTGGCAATTCATTCCTCCAGCGGTCAATAAGCTTTCTGTTATTTTCCCTCCAATCAATCTACTTAGAAATCCGCTCTGCAGCCATGTTAATGAATGGCGAGCAGAAATAGAGATGGTTTAATTGAATGACTGAATGCATTAGGAGCTGCATTGAGTACTGTACTTTTACTTCTATGAATAGCAATATGTGGGTGTTATTAGACTTTGTGACTGATGAAAATGAGGCTTGCACAAACCCGTCGGCTCGCGGTGCCTTGCACACGAGTGATGGAATACAGAAACTGTCCTTGCATGAGTATGCGCAGAGATGTAGTCCTGTCGTGCAGAAATGCTGTTTTTGTCTCGAGGTACGAGGTTGTTTTTCCACTAAGAGAATAGTTTTAAACTCCATCCAAATGCGCCCTCTGGGGAAGCAAATGTAACCCCTCTCAATAGTTGTAATAATTCTCGCTGTCACTTCTCTACGGCTTCGAGCTAGAAGTCTGCATGTGTGCAAATACCGTGTTGTTGACGGTTTGCGTGCGTATGAGCATACGAATGGCAGTGATGTGATTGATGAGACATGAAAGAGAGCAGACCAAGATTTCCAGTCAATCAGCCCCGTGAATAACCACGGAGGCTGTGGATTAAAGGCAGATTGCTGTCTGAACAAAGACCCACATCCATTACCTTTCGCACAGAGTTGTTTTTCCTCGCTACGGCAACTCTGACAACAAAATTAAAGTGTGTTAACAAAAATAGATGGTTTTGTTTTCTTGATTTCAGAAGATGAAACGTAGAAACATCTAACAGCTAGGATGCTTGAGGACATAAAATTTGTGTGAAAGAAAGAAAAGGAAAGAACGGGGAATTGACCTTTGCAACCTCTTAAGGTTTTGTAAAATAAAATGAGACACAACGGAATTGTTAGTTGTGATGTATGTTTGGCTTTATAGAACGAGACTGGAATCAAATATTTCAAAGAAAAATGATAAAGCCTGAGTAGCACTGGTTGAAGGTTGGTTTGTTTAACTCCAAGTGTTTACAGTTGTTTTGCTATTACTGAAGAATGAAAAGAAATGCTGAAATAAGGCCTTTTTTATTTATTTAATCTACCTTTGACTAAGATGCCCAAGAAAAATAGTTTGGATGGATTTGTTATTTAAAAAGGACATGTTATTAAAAAAACACTTTTTTGATAGCATATATTGAGGTATCTAAAGTTGTTTATATTTCAAACATTTCTGACCTTGTCCCTTTTTTGTATTTTGACTTTAGCCTTTTAAATACGTCATAAAAACCAAGTCAATTTGTGAAAACAGAACAAAACTTGAGTATTTTCTTTACTGTGCCTAATACAGCAACACCTAATATTATACTAGGATTTAAAAGGCGGTATTACGTATTTTCCAGGCACATAAGGAAATTCTATACCACAATCAAGTAACTGTTACTTTCAGTTGTTATGAAAATACTTTATAAAACAAAAATAAATTCAACCTTGAAATTGGCTTCTGCTTTTTTAAGAAGTTCCTACCATTTCAGATATTCCCACTTCAACATGTCTTCACAACAATGCTTCAAGAGATGGGTGCTCTGTAGAGCTGCAGACTGAGCTCCAGGGAGGAGCTTCACACAAATAGGCGGTGCTTTGTACCAGCAAGCGTTTAGGCAGCTCCACATGGCTACCAGAGGAGATTCAAGGGTTTATTAAGCATGCATGAATGAGTCAAAGCAAAACTCTGGGTTTGTTTTTGATCAGGGAATAACATTGTAACATGATATAAAGCTAAAATGAAATTGATTTTCATAATAACTCCCCTATGAAGGATAACTTATTGCATAACTTGTACAAAAAACACTAATTTTTCTTGTATTTTCCTTTTTTTGCAGGTCCAAGGATTGGAGAAAATAGACTTCACAGAACTGAGCCCTATCGGGACGGTGATGAAGTCTATGCCACATGGCATGGCTGGAGGCTCAGCTGGAGGAGTTAAGCCTCCATACCAAACCCGCATATTCTCCACATCCATTGATCAGACGCCCCTGAAGTCCAAACCACCCACCTATGGTTTCTACAGCCCATTTGACTCAGGCCGGAACCAGTCCCTGCTGCTCGATCAGACAGGCTACCGCTCCAAGCGTAAGCCTTCCCTAAAGACAAACATGAAGACCAAGAAGATCTTCGGTTGGGGAGACTTCTACTTCAGCGTTAAGACCGTGAAGTTTAGCTTGTTGGTGACGGGGAAGATCGTGGACCACATCAACGGAACGTTCACCGTTTACTTTCGCCACAACTCGTCCAGCCTTGGGAACGTGTCGGTGAGCATCGTGCCGCCGTCTAAGGTGGTGGAGTTTGAGGTCCTCCAGCAGCAGCAGCTGCACCCTCACACCCAGCAGGACATCCAGATCCAGGACACGCAGCAGTCCACCATCGACCCCAAAGAGGGGAAGACCCTCAACTGCAGGGTCGAGTATGAGAAAACCGACAGGTCAAAGAAATCCAAACCCTGCCTGTACGATCCATCTCAGACCTGCTTCACGGAGCACACTCAGTCCCACGCTGCCTGGCTTTGTGCCAAACCCTTCAAGGTGATCTGCATCTTCATCTCGTTTTTAAGCTTTGATTACAAGCTTGTTCAAAAAGTGTGTCCGGACTACAACTTTCAAAGTGAGCGCCCTTATTTCGGATAAGCAGGAGAGACTCAAGTGAACACAAGTACAAAGACAATGTTAATGATCACAACAATGAGTATAATGAAGATGATGGAAATGATGCTCATATTTATAATAAGTGAAAAAGCGTGGGACGATTTTATTTTCCCTCTGAACTGATGTGAATCGTGGATCTAAATAATGTATAATCAGAGTTAGGGATGATTAGGGTCTGGTGGATCTCTCTGATTTATTTTCCAACTTTGTATTTGTTAACCTTCGTTTTTATGTTTTCTTTTCTGTAAATAATGTACTCATCCCCAGCAGACTTTATTGTTTTTAGATATATGTTTCTCGGTGTTATTACTTTCTGCGGTTGGAAAATTCAGTTAAAAACAATCCGAATGGGTATTATTATGCCCTCTGAGTACAGACGGAGCCTGTTAGGCAGCTGTGCAATGCCATCACTGTGTGGCAGACATAATGTTATGGTAGACTGACTGTTAATCATCCTCTCAGCTCTACATTTCAAACCATGGATATAAGAGAGTTATATGTATGAGAAATGCTATGCTGGATATGCATACAATATACTGTATGAACAAGCACATTAAAATCTCTTTAACTGTCTGTCTTTCACTGGTGTTCATTTGTAGCTTAAAGCAGGATTGCAGGACACAAGCTGGGCAGCAGTTATGTTATCTAACAAGGCAAAGACACTATTGGTTTAAGCCACATTTTCCTTTCTTGATTAGGAATTTAGCCTTTCAGTCAAGATATATTAAACAAATTCAATTTTCCTAAAACAAATTGGAGCAAAGTGTTGTGAATTAAGTTTTAGCATAAAAACGAACCATGAAATATTCTCAAGATAATAATTATACTTTTACATAAAAATAGTCTGTAGAAAACATCTGAAAGTTGATTTTTATTCTCAACGCATCTGATTATAACATTTAAATTGGAAAAAATGTGACCACAGACTTCAATTTGACCTATTGAGCAAGTGAAAAAACATTCAGTGAGTCAAGTTTTTAGCTGCATGTTAAACTTAATCCACACTCTTATTTTCTTTACTTGTTTAATAATGAAGATTTTGGTGTATCTGCTGCTCAGGCCTCAGGGCTGGTAAGTGTTTTCTTCTTTGTTACACAGAATCTCTACAGAACTTGAGTGAAGAATCACCAAACAAGTTTCCTCTTTCAGTTTCTCGTTTAAAGCTTACATTTGTGTCTGAGTATTAAACTGCCGGTGCATAAAAAGGAAAAACCTTCAAACATTGAACAAATAAAAGAGTTTTGAATGTAAAAGTTTCCCAACAAATGTAAAAATTTAATGAATGAAAATATACTGATAAATGCATTCCTGGTGGTTTAAAATCCAAGGGTATATTTACTTTTTTTAAATAAATGTAATACCTATAATAATAATAGTTTATCTATATATTTTTTCAGATGGGTTCACAACTTTTAGTTGACAGTCTTTGAAACAAAAACAAATCATTGCACTTCAGATGAAAACAGGTCTACTTATACTCAAGTGTTTGTTAGTTGGAATGGATGAGAATAGTTCTACTGATATAAGTTTGTGTCCTCCTGTATTTTCTTCAGTTTGAAAGAAAAATATCAAATAAAACATTTTCTAAATAAGATCAGACAACACATTGAGCTTATGGTGAAATTTGTGCATCTCACTCATTAAAAGGCATTGAGCATAATTTGTGAAAACAGTTTTAAATTTGTCATAAAAACTTGTGAAATGGTTGTTAGTGTTTAAAGTTAGACGTACAGTCTGACAATGCTGCAAGGGTTTTAAAATGCAATCAGGCTGTTTCAGCATTTTCCCACAGTTTAAAAACATGCATGAGATAATTGTGTGTCTCTGTGTTGGACCTGTGATGAAATGGGAAATCCATCCATACCAGTGGCAGCTGAATAAGCTCCAGCTCCCTCGGACCAAAACACAAGGTAAGTGTACGAGAGTTAATTTATGAAAGGAAAGCCTGAAAAGCAGCACAACTCAACAGAACTTTCAAAAGTTAGAACATGATGCTTCCATAAAAAAATTTAAAAAACATTTCAAAAATTTTATACAAAAGGCATTAATAAAGAAAATTAAATAGTGAGTTAAAGATATTTACATAAAGATGTAGGTATTGTACGATGGAGTATTAGGGCAACACAAGATTTAGTTTTACATTTTTTTAAATTACGAGAATAAAATAATAATATTACAACATTAAAGTCATATGAAAAAAAGTCATGTCCCCTAAATTTAAAAAACATTTCAAAAATTTTATACAAA